TAAGTTTTTGAAGTTGGGATCTTAGCTGCAGATGCTCTGTGGTAACACCTCAAATGTTGCTTGGGTCGCTCTTACCTTAAGGTAGACGCTTTCTGTTGCTAGTGATCCAAGACCTAAGGAGTTCCTCTAGAGTCCATTGCTTTAGCAACCTTTGGAAGAGATGAATAATGGGGGACTGCCCGCGCAGTGATCAACTTGACTGCCTCTTCATTTCCTTGGTATATGGCTGTGTAGCCAGATGAGATTCACTGGGTTGTCCACTAAAATTCAATGAGACTTAGTGTTGCAGATTGGCTTTATTGCCGCTTGGTTATCCACTAAAAAGTTAATAGACTTGCTAGTTAGATTTTCGGCTTTCGTCTGAAGTGAAAAACCGTTCCACTTTCTTAGACACAGCTTGACCCATTCCAGAATTTACAGTGCTTTCTATAAACGTTGACGTTTTTATTATCTCTAACTCTTTCGGTTTCAATTTGCATGCAGTCCAAAGAATATTCTTACACCAACAATATACTCATATTTCATGCTCTTACATTCTACTTTTCATTCGAAATAGCATAATTGCGCATATTTTCAAAGTTAGAAATTTGCTTCTGAATTGACCTACCACAATTGAAATCAAGTGCGGCACACTTGTTGCACGCTCCCGACCTTAAATATACTCATTTAATGCTTCCATCAACAAAATTAGCGCCAGCAGTTAACAGGTGAATTGAGTGACTTCCCTCGCTATTTTTGAAAATGGGAACAACAAAGCAAGAATGCAAGCAAATCACCCTCCACTTCCGATTTGTGGCGCCACGTACTCACCCCTGTGTATCAGTTCACTTCCCCAAATGGCTGCTGACCTGCGCACCAGTGACATGACGCCATTCAACGCCGCAACGCTAAACAATCTCGAATTCGGAAGTGTGTGGAACACACTTTGTTGGGGTTGCTGAGCTCGCGCACTTCCGCAGCACTTCCTCCCTTAGCTAACAGTATGAAGTCTTTAGCCGCACGTAAGTCGCGGTGCATTGACTTGCTTCCCTTTATGGTGGCCTTCTTCCACTCTTCACTTCCTCCCTTATTTGTTTACACTACCGAGGTGTGGATATCAAAATTTTATTAAGGTTAATCGTTTTTGTGCTCAAAAGTGTGCAAGCGCTTGACTTTGTGAAATTTGGAGGGTGAGCTTGACACCTTCGTTTGATTGAAAATGTGTGGTAATTGAAATTTCATGGCTGCTTAGTAAACAATTTTATTGACTTGAAATATATATTTGACTTGAGGGGAGATTATTTATAGTTTGATGATAAATAAATTATTTATTAATTATTCATTTGCAAATTAAGGGTTGCCGAAGTGTTTACATAGTGCCAGGTAGTGCTCAAGACCCAGCAAAAGAGAAAAATTAATGAATTTGGCCGCATTTAGAATTACAGCTGATAGTAACTCATTAATTAGCTAGCGCACCGATTTCACCCAAATTTTGTACCACCCTAATATGCATAAATGAATTTCAATGCAATTTTGCAACCGAAAAAATATATATTTTCCTAGAAGTGACTGTGAAAACGCCACTCGCCCGCAGCAAACCAATATTCGTCGTCCATAAGTTACCGAAGTGAGCGCGCAAAATTGCGCAGCCACTGGAAAGCAACAACAACACAGCGAACAAGTACAATTATTGAAAATTTTAATAGAAAAGCAATGCATGCAACAGTCAATAAAGATTTGCGAAAAAGAACAAAGGGATTTATAGTAAATTGCACGAAAAGTAGGCAAATCGTTTGGACACCAGCAGCTACGCTGCCACCACAGCGAGTTGCAATAATGACATTTCGCCTTGAACTTGCAGCATTGAGTGATGTCGCTTTTGTTGTTGTTGTACGTTAATAATGTGGTGAATGTGGTGGCTGGCGGCTTGATGATGTAGTTGTTGCTGGTGCTTACGCTGCAGCTGGTAGCAATGCTGGCGTATGGTGACTGGCGACGAGCGACGAGCGACTACTTGGCTGTTGACTATTTGAGGCGCAGCAAAAGTTACAGCCAGCGGCTACAGGAGCTTAGCTACCAACGTTGGACTTGCCAGGCAGTGATTGTTGAGAATGCACACACACATATGCATACATATATGCAACAGATATAATACACCAGCTTCTATAATTGCTCATACTTATATGCTGTATATGTTGTTGTTATTGTTTTGCTAGTCAATATATTGTCGAGTCTATAGCTGGAACGCCAAATGGCATTGCCAATGCTTAACTAAAACTCGATTTTCCATCAACTACCTGTGTTGCCTGTAATACTTTTGAGCTTGCGTTGTTCTTGTTGTTATGCATTGTTGCTGCAGCATGGCTTATTGCTACTGTGATGTGTTGTTCGCTGCCGAAGATGCGCCACGTTACTAGACTGACTGGCTGTCAGACTGTTAATGTTAATATTTATTTATTTTCTTGTTGTTGTTGTTGTTGGGGATGCCATTTTATCTGCTGTTGCATGCAACAGGTGCAGCTTTTAGATTGTTTTTCATAGCAACGGCTGGTGGTGTTGTGATTTCTGCATATATTTTTATTTCTTTAAAAAAATGTGTAGTATATGTGTGTATGTGTGTGTGTTTAAGTACTATATACACATTATTGCTAGCTTTAGTGGAAGACATGAGGTCATTTGTTGCTATAATGCAGAACTTGCAAATATTTGTGTATTGGAAATATTGAAGCTTAATGTAGTTGAATGCGAGAAAATCAAAATTAAACAAGTAAGGAAGCGCTGACTTCGAGCGTAACCGAAAATTGTATACTCTTGCAATTTGTGAAACTCAAAGGCGGTGAAATTTGTACATATGTATATCCTCAAATTTTGGACAACCCCAACAAAGCCGCAAAGGCGGCAAGTTCGTTGCTTAAGTCTTTAGTATGAAAATTTGGGACACCAAGGTACGGCGAAAATGTGGTATACCAGTTCGATACTAATTTTAACACCTAACTGAACAATTTCCCAAACATCACACATGTTTCAAAAATACGTTGCACCACCACTATTGGGGAAAACCTACCGGGACATAGTTTGTAAAATGTAATTTCCAATATGGCAATGTTAGTCGATAAACTAGCAACGAATTTTCACATAAATTTCACAAGTCACTAAATACAAATACGTTGCTGCTAGTAAAATTAACTGTGACCCTTTAAAGCAGCAACGTCGTCCACGTCAAATAGCATACCTGTGCCCTAAACACTTGTGCAAATGCAAAAATTTCAAACTAATTGAGCAACCCCTGCTGAGTCTGCGTACAAAGTGAAACGGGAAATCCGAAACCTTCAAATTTAAATCTAGAAATCAGCATTTCCAAAGAAATACAACGGCATTGTGCGCTAAAAATAAATCCTCTGCATTGAGAAAACATTTTAAAATCGCAAAATCACCGACAACGCATTGTTAAGTCCAACATTGTTGAGTTGGTGTTGCGCGTATTTCCTGATTAGCCGAGAATTTGCCAAAAATTGCCAAATTTCTGCATTTCCCAAATACCTGCAATTATGCACAAGCATACATGCAAACACACACATAACTACTTGTTGTTGTTAACTGCATCACGATCCTTTTTCTGTGCTACACAAAATACCGTCTAGTTGCACGTGCAACATTTAAGCCTGCTTGTGTAGCGAATCGCAATTTTTCACGGACATGTTCGAACTTGTTCAGCTTAAATTTTCGTAATTTATTTTTTGTTTTTGTAGTTCATCTTTTGAGCGATTCTACTATTTACCTTTTTTGGAATTTACGCCGTCATAGGCTTAGTGCCCTGGCGGCAGGTAGTAAGCGTGTTGTTGTTGGCAGAAAGTCGTATTGCGCATAGCAGTAAATCCTGTTCTCAGAACTCGAAGATAGGCCACAAAAATATTGTTTTTGTTTTTTTGCATTTATTTTTATTAATATGTTTTTGGTAAGGGGTATGTAAAGGCTCGCGAAGATTTAATGAAGCAGCGATAAATTGGACTGTTAAGCACAGTGTTGCTGCTTGTAAAAATAAAAAGGGAGATTTTGGTTGTAAAGGGATATTTGATGTATGCTGAAGATTTGGAATACTTGGTTAGCCATAATACATATTTATTAGGCATATATGTTTTCCTCTGCAAATGCTGAAAAATCGATAGGGATAGGGACTAACTAGTTAGGTTCCGGCGCAGCGGAGCTGAAATGTTTGAAGAAATTACGGAACACTTTTAAAAATCAAAAAATTTATATTTCGAGTTTTCAGAGTTCACGAGTTCTAGAAAAATGTAAAGAGGATGAAAGTTTTTTTTTGAAAGCTCAATGCAACCAAGGAGTTATGATTCAAGGAAAATTACAGTCAGAAATATAATGTGTGTGATAAGTGTGGAGAAACTATAGAACTCCATTTTTCTTTGAAGCAGGGGCTATATTCGACCAACTAACCCCAGTTCAACTCATCAATACTCTATTTTACCACTCTGGAATATTCCTTCCTGAGATTTCGTTATGACATTTTCCATGTTTTTCCACTAATTTTTACATACCAAGACACACTTAATATAGATTCCATATAGATAATTGTGTTTTTTTCTCAAAAACGTATCTTCAATCTATACTTTAAGTCCTCCGGTCGTCACTTAACTCCACTGAAAGTAAAAAAATATTTATTTCGAATTTTTATGAGCTCTTTACATGGCAATTCAATCAACAAACACTCAAAAAAATTCATGCTTGAGCATGTCCTACCAAACTTCTTTAAAAAGCACACTTGATTCTTACAAAAACCCATGCAAAGCAAAAATCCCCCTTCGCGACACAAACACCAACACATACAATCTTGCAACAGAGGCAACATTTTGCTGCACTGCACAAGGAAATTTATCTCGAAAGTCATTAAATGGAATGCCGCAGGTAGCGAGAAGCAAAAATCACAACCAAATCCTGTACAGCCACAGCATAAAAATCACAATAACAAACAACAACAATGCAAGGTACAGCGAAGCATTAATTGAGTCGGTGCCGAAATATTGATGGTGGTGGTGGTTCTTATGTTGTAGTGATCGTGGTGGTGGTGAGTCAAATTGGAAGCAAAAGAAAAACACCTGGCGGCTATGCGCGCGCTGATTGGCTACAAATGCTGGAGCAAAGAGCGCCACGGAGAGCGCGCAACAATTTTCTTATTGCCAACTCACTAGCGGCGCACAGAGCGCATTGTGTATAAATAGCGCTAGACGATTGAGACCAATAGCATTAACAAGCAAGCGCACAAGTCGAGCAGACATCAAAAAACAGAGTTTTTATTGAAAAAAATATACACAAATAGTGAAAATGCCTTTTCTAACGCGTGAATACAATTTCCACGAGTCGGAGCTAGCAGCCGCTAAAGATCAGCGCACAATGGCCATGCGCAGCGTCAAGAAGTTATTGCGCCCGCTCATGCGCATAATCAAGAAGAAGCAGTTGTTGCAAAAAACACTCGCCGAAGTGAAGCAACAAAATGATTACAATTCATCGCTGGAGGATATGCGCAAAGATCCCGCCGCGCTTAACGCCTACGATGACAATTTGGCTAATGAGGCATTGGAGCAGCGCCTACATGAACAATTGGAGCGCAGCGCGCCCAAAGCAGCCATTATTGTGCGTCAGGGCAACAGTCAACAAGTTGTGCCCGTGCAGCAGCAACACTACATACCGGTGCATTTTGCGCGCACCGCCAACGGTACATTCTTTTGGACCACCAACGACATGCCGCGTCAACAGGAGTTACAATTGCGTCAACAGCTCGATCGCTGGGGACAAGCATAAGCGCCTGGTAGCAGTGGGGTACACGGTAGCAGCTTTAAGTGCAACGGCCACTTTGCGGCATAAGCGAAGCGGCACATTTGCGCGTGAACCGCCGCGCGCATGCGCGGTTTTGGCTTCCTATTTTCAAGCGTTTTCACGCGGAGTTTAGCGTGACAATTCAATAATTGCGGTGATATTAGCTTTTAGTCGCATGGCTACAGTTTTATGATTTTATTTTATTTTTTTGCGTAAAATAATTGATATTCAATTGTGTGCAACTATTTTGTAGCAACAGTGGCAAATTTATAATTTTGTCTTATTGTGATTTTAGCGTGTTTAAATGTGTTAGTAATTTGTAATATTGTAACAATTTAGGTTAATAGCTTTAAAATTCATATGTCTTCCTAAATTTAGCTGATTTTACATAAGTAAGTGGTTTGCATTAGTCTAAGTGATAAGCGTTCTACATTCATTGTCTTCCATGTAAAACTTTGTAGAAAAAATAAAATTAGTTTTAAGCGAAAAATATTGTAAACAAAAATTTAATAAAATAAAATATTATACTAAAGAACGAAAAAAAAATGTTTCTACTATTTTATAATTTTTAACTTAGAGAGCTTTTAGAGAAAGAAAACAAACTTTTGAACTTACAGTGCTAAGAGCGACAAGCTTTTTACGCTCATACAAAACAGACAGACAGTTTTATATACAAAAACTAAAGTTCCCGGTATCAAAACTAGTTGTAAATCACCAGAAGTTCAGTACTGATGAGCATCGACATATGTGGAGTTACTTATCGAACTCCAGTCGAATGAAGCAACAAACATGATCAAGGCCAAGTATCCTATAAATGCAAATATTACTTCAAGTTCCATTAAAAGTTTATATTATTCATAAAATAAATATGTTTCTGTATAAATATGAATAAGATTATATACTTATATAACTCGACAAGAATGCCACCTGGTGAGATTTTGGACAGTCTAAGAGGTTACTTATTGGTAACAACTTCTATTTATAGCATCCTAAACAAAACAATTTTGCAGTGTATAATCGTAATTTCAAAAAAAAATTCAAACTGCTAAAGCTTTCCAGATGCTTACTCCGATTTTGATAAACAGTAAATACCAAATAGCTATCAGGTTAACAGAGCTCTTGGATCAAAAAGTTAAATTGGTTTGACAAGAGAATAAGGCGAATTGAACAGTAACTTTGAAAAATATAACGTAAAGAGTCAAACAGCTAAGATACTGCAGTTATAATCTGGTATTCAAGATAACGGTATATGAAATTATAGCATTTCATAGTTTTTTCAAACACATAAAGATTTATAAATATTTATACCCTGAACAGTGTATACTAAGTTTGCTAAGAAGTTTGTACAACCCAGAAAGAAACGTCGAAAACCCTATATAAAGTTCATATATACATACATGTATATGATTTAGCCAAGTCCGTCTGTCTGTATATACGTGAACTGATTCCTCAGTTTATGAGATATCGTTTTGAAATCACGCACACGTTCTTTACCTTGCAAGAAGTTAGCAATTTGTCGGAACCTCCGATATCGGACCACTATGAGATATCTTCTCGAAATTTGGATTGGATTCTTGCTCAAGACAACGTTACAGTCTTCAAAAGTTATCTGTTAAATGCAAACCGTTAGCCGGTACCGTTTTCAAAAATATAATATAATTACACATCTAGTTTCTAAATGCACCTGTGAAGGGTATTATACTTCCGTTGCAGCCGAAGTTAATGTTTCTTCTTGTTTTTTTTTCTTCAATTTTCCAAAACATTTCTCTTTATGCGTTAGTTTAGAAGTCTAAGCCTTTATGTGTATATGTAAATGTGGTTGTGCATACATAACCAATTCCAGCCATCACGTGCAATATGATTTGAAAATATGGTAACCCTTTTACTAATTTGCATATCGTTATAATAATAATCACAAACTAAACAAATAAAATGTAAACAAAATAATCACCTGAGAAAAAATAAAAATAAAAAAATCAACCTGCTATATTACAACAATAAAAACAAGTTTTTCAGGAAAATTAAACAAAAAATGTTAATAATAAACTTGAAATATTCCAATTAACATACGCTTTGGTCAAAAAGTTGATTTAAATTTTTCTCAAACATAAAGTTTTTTAAATCCTACTTATAATTTATGCACATTCATTACAAAAACACAAGCATATATTATGAGATTTTGTATAGGTATGTGTAAAGATAAGTTTGTAAAAATACATATAGACATAATAGCTATTTTCACCTATACCCGCATTAAACGGCTTGCAGTGAGACAAACTCAAGCCAAGACAAATGACCGGCACTCACCAGAGGCAATTATGTTTAAATTTATGCAGACACATCAATTTGAATATGTGCATTTACTTGTGTATAGACTGCGCATGCGCCCATAATGATCGCACAACCTGTATGCGCAGACAGTTAATTTTTATTTGTAAGTAGATTTTCCTGCTTATTGCCTTAGCATGCATATATTTAGACATGATGCATATATAATACATAGAGATGTGAGTACCGAAAACTACAAAATAAAAATGTTGTATTTGTAAGCGGCACAGAGTGCTTTAATAAATGCATTATATGCAAATATGGATAACAATTAATAGAGACATAGTAGATGACAGTCCCGAAATTTCGGGATTTCATAAAAACTGCGCTCAAAATATATAAAAAACTGAATATTTTGTTTAAAAAAAAGAATATATAAAAATATTTTCACCAATGTATGCAATCCCGAAATTTCCGTTTTCTCAAAAAAACCCTCGAAACCCTCTGACTGAAAAAACTGATCAAAAATCGTATAGAAAAATATTTTTTAACGAAATACGCAGTTCCGCAAATTTCTGGTTTAAATTAATATCAAAATACTGGGAATTCGGTATTTATAGACATCGTTAATATACATATGTATGTATGTATATGTTAGAAAAAACTTCAAAATGTCTAAAAAATTATATTACTTTTTGTAAAAATACATTGGACAAACATGTTAATATGCAATCCCGAAATTTCGGGATTATATGAAACATCAGAATATTTTTACTTTAGTATCATATATGTACATATGTATGTCACCATGTATTCTAACACACCATTAAGTAAATTATTATTTATATTCCTTAATTCTTTTGCTATAGTCAAAATTTTTAGATCTAGAGTCCTTACTTAACATTTAAAGTAAACCGATAGTGAGGTTTTCAACATTTCAAGCAATATTTAACTAAAGCATGTTTATCTCGATTGTAATTGAGCATTTATGTATGTCAAAGCCGAAACTTCGGGATCACACTACACTATAACTAAACTTCGGGATTTTCATTTTTACTCATTTATTTATATGTAAATTCCATTTGCATGCATTCAAATGAGTTTTTTACAGTATTCAAATTAAATTTTCCACACCACAGCTATTTTCGAAACCAATTTCAAAGTCATCAAAAGGCAAGAAAATCGAAGTATATCGAAGAATGCTATAAAGAGTTAAATTTTAATAGTATGGTTGACATCGCGGTTGATTTATTTTGCTGCTTGTAAAATTCTACTGAGCTATTATTGCCGCTAGTAATAAAAAATCTTGTCAGCAGCAAAGTGTAGAGATTAAACGAAGCTGTAAAGATGTTAATGTGGCCTTATAGTTGTTGTTGTTGTTATTATGATTACCACTTCTGTTTTGTATGCCATTGCTTTCAACTTAGCTGTTGTCAAAATGTCATTAAGGGCAAGCCGAGCGCATAAATAGCTTTGTTGCAATAATGCTACAGTTGTTTTTGTGTTTTTATAATCCTCACGGCGTAAAACAGGTTTCACATTTTCACTGCTGCTGTAAAAGCCGCATTGTTACTTTTTTAAACTTATATACGAGTGGTTAAGCCATTAAATCGGTTCAAGGCATGGCAATAAAACATTAGTTAACCTCGAGGAGAAGGGCCAACTAAGCGAGCGCAAATCGATTGGCAAGCCGAAAAAAGAAACGAAGAGACATTTTGAGAGGAGAAAGGTTAAGTTTAGCGATAATGCAGTTCTTAGCACAGCGATTGCAAGTGTTGTCGTTGTTTTTTCTAGTATTAATGGCAACTTGGTATTTTTAGCTTTAACTATAAATTAACTTCGCTTACTTGCATCTTAATCACTGACATCATTTTCTATGAACCTTATATTTTGAGTTATTTTATTTTTATATAAAAGAGTATTAGAGTATTAGTTTTTATAAACATCTATATGAATCACTATGCGCCATTTAAACGGAAACTCAATATTATTTGAAATAAGGTGTTGACTAAAGACGTAGCGGGCTTTTGTATGTAGATAGACTCGTAAATTGCTCAACTTCTCTATAGTGAGTGCCAACTTGACTTTTGGTCTTTATGAAAGGATGAATATCTGCTCTGAAGTGAATAGCGGTTTTCGAAACACTATGTAAGTTCAAAATTCAACAATATTGAGTAAAGAAATCACGAAACTGTCTGCGAAGTTGTTTTTATACGAAATTGTATCTTTCTAACCCGATTATATTTATACAACGCCAGATACAGATTACTAAAGCTATTTATTGAACATAAATGATTTCTTGTTACAAGAACTTATACATTAAGATTTCTTGTTACAAGAACTTATACATAAGAATATCAGGCACTTATATGAATATTAACTTCTATTTATGGCTTGTTAACTGATCGGTTAAATGGTTTTCGAAAATCTGTTCCTTAGTGTAAACAGCTTTTTGACAATTTTAGTTTGTATTTCGACACCATCTCTTTGTATAAAAAATAATTTAAAACTTCGACGTTGTTTAATGTTTTGTGGTTCCTGTTCTTATCGAACCAACAACAAAAATAGCCAACATACCACAACGGTATATAAATAATAAAGAGTACACGGAAAACTTACAGAAAATTTGTTTTGCCACTCAAACACAATTGTGCCATAATTTGATATGTATAATATTTCTTAAAGTAGCATATTACCTAAAAATGGTCGAACGACTAAATCTATTGCACTCCATTAACTAAAGAATCCGCCAAAGTAACGGCGCATGCGTGTAACATTTGCTAAGCGCATGCCTAACATATGTAGATATACCACACATTTCTGTGTTTTTTGTTAAATGTTATACATAAGTGGTCACATGACTAAATTGAAAACAGTTAATATCGAACATCTTATCCCGAACTATTACAAATGAATATATGCTCGTTTGTCGAACAGCAGTGGGCGGCTAAAAATAGCGCCACCCTGCAACACCACAGGCTGTCAGCAGGACGATGCCAGCAAATACCATCAATTGCCATCACATGTGCTCATTTATACAAATGCACACATATATATCTTAACATGTGTGATAACCACTTGAGCGCTGAGTGCGCATGCGTAAGTCAGCCTTGTGATCAGTGAATAATTGAAAGGTTAAGTGTATAAATTAAAGATAGAAAATGCAAAAATTTTAGAGAAAAATATTTTTGTACGAAATACGAGCACAATATGTTAACCACATTAAGTTGTAGCTATACATATGAGGTTTAGACATATGTGTTGCATGCAACGTAACATAATACTAACAACATAG